TGCAAGCCAGTTTGTCTCTGCAGTGGCTGGGGAAAGGGAGATGGAAAAGAGTCAACACACACCCTGCCTGGTATCAGAAATGCCGCATGAGTCCTCAATATTATACCTACAAGCATGGCTTATTTTTTATCTTCACTCTTTCATCTTCTTGCTCCCAGTGGCAAGCTAGACATAAGCCATCTTCTTGCCAGGAGTGACAAAGTGGACAATCCCCACCCCTGCAGCCCCACACATGCCGCAGGCGGCAGGGACAGGGCAGCGCAGCTCTCGCCCGGTCCCTGCTGCTCTGGAGATGCAGCCAGAACACACAGATCCAAATTGTTTTACATGAGAAACAGCTGAGAGGAGAAAAAAAAAAAAAAAAAGAAAATCAGAAAGAAAGGAGAGCAGACTTTTGCAAATCTCCAGCACGGGGCACGTGCAACTTCTGCACCCCCTGACTCAGAGCCAACAGGCGGCAGGGCACTGCCCGCAACTGGGAGGAGGCCCCGTCCACCGCTCCTACTCCTCCTGCAGCGGGGTGCTGGGTGACGCCAACCTCAGGCCACAGGACGGCAGCAGGCACCATTTGACATGAGTCTCAGCATCTTCCCGAGCTCCCAAATCCACGGGCTGCCACGTGGATGCCAGAAAACAGGGTATATCAGCTGATGCTCCATCTTCGCTCGCTCCCACTGACTCTCTTCTGCCAGGATTATTTCAGTAGCTTGTGTAGCTTTAAAAGCTGAGCAGTCACATCTCCTTGGGCTTCATACCTGCTCTCAAAGAGGAACATGGCCAATTTTTTTTTTTTCTTTCCTGCTTTCCATTAGAATTAATTGATCCATAATTGCACTCATAGAGGGGGAAAGTTAATAGACACACTAATAAATGCCAAAGCCCCAGAAGAACTGGCTCTCCAAGCCCCTGCCTGGAGCGACTCCATCTCCTCTTAATAGCGTCGCATGCAATTCCAGTGTGTGTGTGTGTGTTAGTATTTAGAGAGAAAAATCGAGGAGCCTTGGTATGATGGAAATAATTTCTTTTCCTCTCCCACATACTTTGTGCTTAGGAGCAGATGGATCCAGGCTGTTTACATCACGGAGGTCATACCTCAGCTTAACAGTTGGGGAACTGACTGTTGGGAGAGATGCGCATCGCAACCAGAAAATTGCTAAATCTGGGCTCCGGCAAACTTCTGACGGTGGCAAGTTAAACATACAAATGTCCTCCTGCAGCCTCTTCGCATTCAGGACCTGCCTCGAGCCTTTGATTGTTTCCCCAAAGAAAACTGCTACCGAGACGAAGCAAGGGCAGAGAGGCAGCTCTGCAGCAGCTCGCGTGCATGAACTTGGAGAAGGCGGCTGGAAATCCCGAGCAGACCTCGTTATTCACCGGTGCAGATGGTGCGGTTTGCAAGCAGCGTGGCTCCAGGTTTCCGCAAGCGGGCTACCAGGGCTCGCTGCTCATGGCTGCGTCCCAAGTTAGAAGAGCGACCGTAACCTCAGCTTAGCTGGGCACGGCTGCCTGTCTTCCCCCAAAGCAGAAACATATGCCGGGGAAAGGTTTCCTTCGCGTGGAGGTGTTTCCATGGAGCTCATCCCCAAAGTGACCTTCTCCTCCCAGCTCAGCCCAGCCGCGGGGCATGCAGGGGGATCCAGCCAGACCATGCCTGCTCATCCAGCTCAGAAGGTGGGGGATGGAAAGGTCACCCTTCCTCTCCCGCAGCAGAGCCAAGTGCTCTCTTCCAGCACAAAGGGATTGCAAGAAGTGTTGAAAAACAATAAAAACTAAACAAACAAAGCGAGGAACGAAGCCCTTCTTGTTGCACTCAAGGACACAAATGGTCTGCATGCAGAAGTACCTTCTCCTGCCTCACATCGCGCCCCTCCGCGGCTCCAGCAGCACCTTTGGCAAGAGGATGCTTCACCACCACCTAAGTACGGCATCCACCAAGCTGCAGGGGATGCCTGTGGCCATGGCCAGGCAAGCGGCACACATGGTAGCCTTGCCATCGGGTGGCAGAGTCCAGCTCGCTGCCTCCTCTCACCTCGCTCAGCCCTCCGGGGAGCTGAGCAGTCATGCTTTTCCCTAGGTATCTGGCACGCCACGAGAGCATCTCCATTGCCAATTAGGCCACCCACCCACTTGCATCCTTCCCCAATACAAACCCTATTAGTGATAAACAAACAGTCGAAATGCCAGCCAGCGCCTGGGAAGAGCCCTAGACAACTGCATCCAATTTGGCGGGCGCGGGAACAGCTGCCTTGCTGTTCAGCACCGAGCATGGACAGGGGCATGGGCCGGGCATCCCACCAGCCACCCTGTGGTCCTCCTGCCAGCAGCTGGCTTGCAGGCCAGAGCATTGCTACCTCACTGTGTCCCCAGGCTGCTCTCAGCATCACACCAGCACCAAAAGCCTCGGTGTCCACACAACACCACTACGTTGGCACAATTCAACACCGCATATAAGGGGCCTTTCCAGCTGCCTAGCCCCAAGCTTCCAACTTTTCTTCTCTGGGCTTGTGTAGGAAAGCTCCTGCTTGATGCTGACACCCAGTTGGACTTCGCTCAAATCCCCAAGCTGGGTGTGGCATAAGAAATGCAAAAGCCACCCAACACTGCTTTGGACATCTTCATCCTCCATAAGGGCTTCCTCCCTGCAAGGCACCATGAAACCCTTCCTGCAGCCTGTCCCCAGAGCCCCTGGACTCAGTCAGACCCCAGCCTGAGAGCTGGGGCATTTCAACCCACCAACAGACCCTGAAGCTCAGCCTGCTGCTCCAGAAGCACTCCTGAAGCCACCACCATCACACCTGGACTCACACTGACACTTAGGACAGTGACAGAGATGACCAGGGCCAGTCTCCACACGGATCCCTGCCATCTAAGGGCTTTCCGGCTGGCCAAAGCAGTACTATGGTGGCTTTTCTTTTTTTTGCCATGACAGGCAATTAGGAAAAAAATGACCTGCCGCTGGGCATGGGGTCCCTGCTGCCACCTGCAGCAAGGACAGCAGAGCCCACATCCCCCTCCTGGTGCAGGAGAGGGCATGCTCTCCGCGTGCACCAACCCCTGCCAGCGGTTGAGGATGTGCTGATGCAACCACAGTTCATTGTCATGGAGACAAGAAGCCTTTTTCTCTCCAAACCCAGCTTAATGGCTTGGATTAAACCCTCCTTTCCCCTGGGAAGAGCAGAACAGGGACAGTTGCATTGTCCTTACATCCCCAGCTTGTCCACATGAACCCCAGGCACCCCTACCTGCACCAGTGAGCATCCCCCACCAGCAGCAGGCACATCCTCCCGGCCACAGCCCACACATCATGGAGGTGCCTCACAATGCTCCCATACGTGCCCCAAACCCATCCCAACCCACAGCCACCACACTCCATCAGCCAGCAAATGCACACCTCACTGTGAACACATCCCAGACTCAAGCACATTTCCATAAGGCTCCCCCCACGTCTCTCCCATCCAGCAGGTCCCAAGCAGATCGACACTGACCATTTCTCACAGGTGACCAAAACCATGAGCAAGGCAAAATGAGAAAGCACCTTCAACGCTGCCCCTTTCCTGGGTCCCCATGGAGCGAAGGAGGTAAGCAGAGCTGGGGAGTGACCCCTCACTGTGGGGCAGGCAGGCATGGAGGGGATGGGGGGGAGAACCAACTACTGGGCTCCTGGGGGGCACAGCAGTACCAGGGGCCAACCTTGGGGCTAAGAGGCAGGGGATGGGCATGGCCTGGAGGGGAAGGATGGCATCTCGCTTACCCTGACAGCACTCCCAGGACAAGGTTGAGAACAAAGAAGGATCCAATGATGATGAGGGGGATGAAGTACAGCCAGTTCCAGGTGGCTCCTAAGGCATCATTGGTCTGGAGGGGAAAAGAAAAAACACGTGTGATGTTATTATGTGCAACACCAGCACCTGGGGCAGAGGGAGGGAGCGTTATCTCAGGCGCTGTGGCAATTGTCTCTCCAGGCTGCCCACACCAGGCTCCTTGGGGCAATGTGGCCATGCCTGCCGAGCCTGGACAGGCATGGAGCAGCTAGCTGTGCCAGCAGGTATGCCCAGATGGGAGCTCCCAGTCAGCAGCACCCCAATGCCCCTTGGTACCCTGCCCCAGCCACACTCTCCTCCACAGTCTCCAGCCCTCATCGGGCAGGACAGCAATCCCTGCCTCCTCCTACCATCCCTGCAGGGGTGTAGGGGCTGTAAAACAATGGTACAGTCAGAGATGTAGGGCCCTGCGGCCCGAAATCAGGGTGCTGAGGGCACAGGGGCCACCCTGAGCGTGCCCTCCCAGCAGCTTGATTCGGCACTCCCCTCTGCATCCCACCGAGACAGGGCAAAGCAGCCCTGCAGCAGCGACATCTGCCAAGCACGGCACAGGTTACGAGGAAAAGATTTATAAGGTGCCTTAGGGCCAGCAAAGCTGGTGGCTAGAGAAGAGGCAGCTGACGCTTGGCCTTCCATGCACAGGGGGAAAGGGGCTGGCGCGGACAAACCGCCCACCTTCAATTGGGTGTTTTTGATGGCATTACCACTAATACCTTGCAGAGGCCCTCCTGCCCCGGGCACGTTACCCCAATCCCAAGGAGCCAAGAGTCGCTCTAAACGCAGGGCAAAGCCTGACAGCTAAAAAGGCTGCTGGCAAACCCTGCTCTATACCTCCAGACTTATTCACCGCGAGGCTTTTAATAAAGCAGTGCCCCTCTGTACCTCGCAGCCACTTCCCGGGCCCCATTTGTCCTCCGGTGTCAGGCACGGCACACATGATGCCGGGCTGGAGGGTGATGCGGCAGAACGTGACTGTCTGGGGGAGGTGGTATCAATCTTGTTGCAATGAAAGACTCTTTCTCTTTTCTCTCTCTTCCCCCCTCTCCCCGTGCTAATTAAGCCCTCATCTTAGTCTGAGTCATTGGCACCACATCTCCCAGTCGGCCAGTGCAGGAGCCGAGACAAGGCTCTGCAAGGGGAGAAGCTCATCTCCGAGGTGGAGAGAAATCCACCACGCTGGAGTCTTCCTCCAGCGACCG